GGGTGGGCCGGAGAGAGAGAGCAGTTTTGGCGGCGCTCAGTCCTGTCCCGGGGGCTCTGCCTCTCTGAGTCCCAGCAACCGCTGCAAACCTCGGAGAGAAAGCTGCACTCGCTCTGACTGAGGCCAGACAGTCCCGCTTCTCCCGTTTGAGTCTTGGTCCCTAGCGACTCGCCCGGATCTGGAGCTCAGAGTCTGCGACTCCCTCCGATTGAAACAACAACCGAGCCCTCTGCGCCGCCAGCCCGCTCCGTGCACTCCGCACCTCAGAATTTGACTTCAGCACTGTGCCTCCTCTGAGTGTCCGTATGCGTTACTCTTTCCTCCTAGTTGTAGGACTTCCACTCAGCCAGCATTCCTGTGGTTCTGGATGATGTCCGTTCTGTCTTTTAGTTTCACTTTTGAAGTGGTTGTTCGAGGCAGCAAACTCAGGTGTTAACCTATGCCGCCATCTTGGTTCTCCCCTAAACTATATTATTAAGAGTACGTGTTCTGGATTCAGTCCTGAATCCCAGTCTCAACTTTTCGTTTATCAGTTGGGACCTTAGGCAAGCTGGTACATATATTTATAAAGTCTATAAGCATATGTAAGATGTTTTTCTTTTCAGAAGATATATCCATTTTCATATGGGTGTTTTCTCCAACATAGGAAAATAATTCAATTGGCCCTCCAGGAGTATGACATGAACTTCATCGGGTTTTGCAGTTGGGGAGATGGATTTGTACTGAAGTACCTTGACTAGCTATTTTTAGGGGGTACATATTTTTACTCTTCATTCTCTGTGAAGGTAATTGGTCCATGGAGGGTTGGAATCTATTACCCTCTACTCCTGAACTCCATATTCTAACCAGCTGAGCCAACTACTAAATTAACTTGAGTGTGCTAATCATAAAGTAGTAAATTTAGCCTTATAAGAGATATAAAATATGATCTAATTCAACTCTTTCTCCATGTGGCTGGAAGGTTAACTTTATTCACTTATTTATTAATTTATGCATTATTCAGTAGATATTTATTTGCTAGACCTTCTATTTGCCAGGTAAGCTCATGCTCTGAAAATACAAAGAGAAATGAGAAGGTGCTCCTGCGTACAAGGCCCCCACAATCCAGTGGCAGTGAGAGAGTGAACTGCATACAAATAACTGCAAAATGTTGGGATTAAGTTTAAATAGTTCAAAGTACTGTGTGCAAAGTGCTGCAAGAACATTAAGACTAGGGTGTGTAGGAAGGGCTTACAGAGATTAGCAGAATGAAGGAAGAATAGTTTCATAAGTACAAAGAATTATGCCATCGCAGTGGAATAAATAGCACAAGCAAAAGCTCTGATGTTGTGAGAGGGCATGGTGCAAAGTTGGTTAGAATATACAGTGCAGGTAAGTGAGGTCAGGCACCAAAGTGGGAAATAGGCTACAGTGTGGAGGTCCATCTGTAAGTAACTGATGGTGAGTTAGCTTCTGTCTGAATACTTTTAGATATGAGCATACTGACTCATGAGGCAACCCAGCCCATTACAGATAGTTTTGGTTCCTAGAGCAATTTCTGGCTTGAAAAGTACTTAATTATAATAGGATTGATTAGATTTGTTCCATAAAACTATCAGGCACTGACATAAAATTAAAATACATTTTTTTAATTGCATACAGAATACCACAGGAGGTAAAAGGTTAGAGAAGTAAGGATAGAATATTTTGGTAGATGATAAAAAATATTGGATAAGACAGAACGGTACTACAGTTGCTTTAAGAATAAGGAATTAACAAGTGATTCCCAATGAAGCAAAAGCTTTTATATTTTTATTAATTTTCTAAGGAAAAAATTAGAATGTGTTTGCTTAATTTATACAAACAGAAGAACAAAGAATGCAATTAGTAGAATTTACACTTTTTATTAATATGTTCTATCAGATTTTCTGAATTTATACATTTTAAATATCATAAAATAAGATTGAACTGATTATTATCATACTATAAAATGTAAAACTACTTAATTAATTTTTTTTAGATACCTAACAGATTTTGAACCAATTCAGTGCATGGGTCGTGGTGGGTTTGGAGTTGTCTTTGAAGCTAGAAACAAAGTAGATGACTGCAATTATGCTATCAAGAGAATTCGTCTCCCCAACAGGTAATGTATGGTACTTTTAGTCAACTTGGAGTTAGAACTGTATAACTTAATCTATAGGCAGTATGTCCTTCTTACTATACTCCAGAGAAACTGTAGAAAACAGTTTCTAAACTACTGAATCTTATGTGCTAGTGCTACCAGGTAACCAGTTGTCTAAAAGATGTGATCTACTTTGGTTGCTTTGAATCTACTTTTTAAAATATGCCCTGTTTTTCTTTTTCTTCTTAACAACTAAGAATTTTCCTGTAGTAATTTTAATAACTATAGATTTTAAAACTTAGCATAATTTAAAAACATCTATATTTATTGTGGAAAATAAGGAAAAGTATTAAAATAAACATTTTCTATTTTTTTTTCTACTCGGTAAGAACCACTACTAACATTTTAGAGTATTCCTTTTGATTTTTTTTCTGGTCATAAGTTTACCTAATTATCAATCCAGTATAGTTTCATCTCTTGCATTGTATCCTCAACATTTTCCATGTTAATAAGAGTACTAGTATTTTATTAAAATGTTAAAATACATTGAAAGTATTTTATAGCTGGATAATAGTCCAGTTAATACATGTGCCATATTATGTTTAACCATTTGTTATTGTTCAACATTTAAGTTTCCAATTTGTGCAATTAAAAATAACTTTTCAGTGTTCATCTTTTATATAAATACTAGAGGCCCAGTGCACGAATTCGTGCAACAGTGGGGTCCCTCAGCCTGACCTGTGAGATCTCTGACACCCTCCAGGTGTCATCCCGGATTGCAAGAGGACACAGGCCAGGCTGAGGGAACCCACCAGTGCCTGATGTGGGCTGGGGAGGGATGCAGGAGGTTGGCCAGCTGGGGAGGGACTATAGGAGGACTCCAGGGCATGTCCGGCCTGTCTTGCTCAGTCTGGATCAGCTGGACCCCAGCAGCAAGCTAACCTACCAGTTGGAGTGTCTGCCCCCTGGTGGTCAGTGCACGTCATAGTGAGCGATTAAGTGGCCTTGGCATATCATCATCCTTATCTAATAAAAGAGAAACATGGTAATTGGCATACAACCGCTACCCTTCCCATTGGCTAATCAGTGAGATATGCAAATTAACTTCCAGCCAAGATGGCGGCCAGCAGCCAGGCAGCTTGAAACTAACATGAGGCTTGCTTGCTTCAGTGACAATGGAAACCAACGTTCCCCGCCAGCCTTGCAGGCCTCTGAGCCTGCAGTTTAAACATTTTAACAAATACAGAAGCTAAAAAAAAACCCAGAAACCAGCTTTCAGCGAGCTGGGATCTCAGAGCTGGAGCTGATACAGAGATTCGATTATAGAACTGAAACAAACCAGACACCCTC